CCCCCCCCCCTCTCTCTCTCTCTCTGCTTCATCGATATTCTTCTACCGTTCCCGACAGAGAACGGCTCGATTCGGCAGTTCCGATCCGGAAGTCGAGGATGTAATATAATGGAACGATATTGCGAGGGAGCGCAAGTTAGGTATGCATGGATCGTCTGAATATAGCCGGCGCGTTAATACCAGAACACTCCCGGGCGCTCAAGAGAGAGAGAGAGAGAGAGGATAGATACGGAGAATGATACGACCTGTGTTAGGCAAGAAGGGGTGGAAGCCGCTACAGGGAACAAATTTGTCGTGCCGAGCACAATTGGTCCCAGAAGTGCCACGAGTACTCTATGGTGATGGAGGACATTGGGCTTGATTTACAGTCACGACGGAAAATACCATGAGCGACCTGACAATTCAGGATTAAACCTGCTTAACCGGTTCGAAATGGGTAGGAAGGAAGGCCTTCTGACCTTTATTCGTTGTTCGGCCATTGTAAGATATGTATTTTCGTTCTTTTCGCTTTTCGACCCTCCGTAATGTAAATTAAGTTTTGCCGTTGGCGCAAAAAGAGGATGCGCTTCGAACACAAGGATTCGTCACGATGTACATGCTGACGCTTCGGTGATGGAATTAAATGTTTAGATATTAATGCACAACTCGAGCACAACTACGAAAGTTAGGAGTGTAAAGGTTTCTACTCACCGTATGCTACGCGTGATGCTTCCCGAGTGATGAATGCGAATGAACTCGTTGCTGGTGGTAGCGATGTGAAAGTACGACTGCTTCTCGTTGACGAAGAAGGTGTCGGGTACCCAAATATTCTTGATGAATTCGGAGCCGACGCTGAGCGTCTCGACGCCCGGCCGCTGCTTGAACCCGAGTCGCGGGTCCGTCCAGAATTGTCGGAAGTAAAAATCCAACGTGAAGTCCTGGTGCGACACAGGTGACTTATTAGACTGGAAGTCGTTTGTGTTCACATAAACATTAGAGAAATACGAGGATTCACGTGAGCCTTTCAGTGTTTCCTGTCTCTTTTCGTTATTGTTAATATTATTGTATGGAGTGAAATCTAACGAACACGTGGCACAATATTCGCCGAATTATCACTATTTCTGTTGTTAAAGGAGTTTCGTAAATAAGTCGTTGTTAGCAAAATCTAATAACATATGTACATATATAAAAAAAGACTACATGTAAACTAGATACGTGTCTAGAACAGTATATTCAATATATCGCCGGTTTCAGCATTTTAAAATAAGAATTTTCGTAGGATTCTCCTAGAACACACATCCGGTAAAGGTGGTCGACGAAAAAAGCATCGTAGAAATAGCGATAACCCCTGTGTGCGAAACGTGTTTTTCTTGCCGGCTAAATTTAACTCCGACCAACGACGTGTGAATATATTGCCGGAAATATCGGGAATAAATTCGCTATTTGTACCAAATGAGAGATAAGCGGCGAGAAATGCGCAAGATAATTTGAAATGCTACGTTAGTCCTCGTCTTCTCATGTGTCAAACCGCGGCGAAATCTCAAGAGACTGAAGAAAGCGTTCGCGTTTTCCTGCGCGAAGGAAGAACGAGTCGGTCCACGATCGCGCTGGGTGACGATCGTGGTTTTAAATGTGTGTAACGCGATGTTGCGGCCACGAGCGGTGGCCGCCCTTTTAAACGGGAAAAACGTAACGTGTCGATCGGAAGAGATACGCGTGCGGGTAGTTACGGGGAAGGAAACACGTTCAGGATCGCGAACGTCGACAGGCACCTTCGAAGGCTTATCGATGCGGCTCGTCGTGGTTATCGTAACACGTGAAATCGGCCACTTAACGCTTACGTGACCCTCTATCCAGACCTCCTCCGGCGTTCTACTTGACCCCATGCTGTGAAACGAGGCGAGGCTAATTCGGCGCGGCGCGGCTATAAAGTCCGAAGTTGCGACGGTAACTTCGAGAGCTCTGTAGGGCGCTCCATCATTGGGTTTCACACTCGCAAGAGCGTTTACCCTGGGCATGATAGAGCAGCTTGAGCGAGACCGACTTCGAGTAAACGTGATCGACGACCGCGGTTAGTACGGTCTCCGAAACCTCTCGGTGTCAAATTAAATATGGAAGGCCTAGAAATGTCCTGGTATCAAATTAAGTTTTGTTATCGAGCATTTCGCCACACGTGGCGCCTGGATTCGATCGGCGAGTCAGTGCGCGACGAGTGATTTTTCTTTTACATATTTCATATTAATACAGAAGTCGATTGTGCGATGAATGATTAAAGCGGATACAGGCCGCTAGGATGGTTATAAAGATTTTCATTTAATTCGCGGTGATTATGAAACTTTACCGCACGCGAAATAAGCTATCCGTGGAAACGCTTTAATATGATATTAAAAGGAGCGAGCGCTGAGCTTCGTCGTAGCACAGTCGCGATGAAAATAATGTCGATATCGGCACTTCCGCACCGAGAAATAACTTCCGCGTATGAAGATCTTAAAATATATCCGCGGCGCACTATCATCCGCTGTGCAGGTAATATGTTATGGCGCCGGTATAAACGCGTCGGCAATGTCACGTACTCTCTAAATTACTCTACCACCGATTTCGCCGAAAGGTTTATTCGTACGGTTGAAGAAGTTTGGGTACCAAGCCGAGGAGCTCGAATGCGTTCGAGTGAAATAGACGAGCAGATTTATTATCTAAGGTCGAAGTTCCTTAATCGTCTCACTATTACAGCAAGAAATTACGAAGAGAGTTATAGACAAAATTTGCACGGACCTTGTAAAGTTTTTCGTTGTTTCACCTCGTCAATTTAAATAATGATCGCCTCATTATTTTATTAAATCATAATTAAAGAAATTTTGAGACAGATTTTCTTTTGAACGTAAATGTGCATTATAAAAAAAAAAACACAAGATTTCTACGAGATTTCTTGCGTAACTTCTGAGATCAATTTTCGTCTAATAGTGCGCGGAGAAAAATGATTTTGCTATTGTAGCGAAACTGTCGTTGTTATTGCACATTTGTTGCGACAGCGGTAAAATTTAGTTGGCGTAACCGAATTAGCGAATTAATCGTAATTAGAGCAGAAACAGTCTTGCTGCCAGAATAGAAAATATTTTGCTGAGCGAATTTATCTCTAGAACACGTTAATCTGCTGCTAGAACGAAATAGTGTTCCTCTACATTTACTATTTGTTCTCACAGCAAAGTAATTTGTAAATTCAATAAAATAATTTAGCGAACGGCAATTAGTACTCTCAACGGATCATTTTAACTGTCCACATAGTAACTGACAGATTTTGCTGCAACAGCATAAAATTTGCTGCGGCAGTAAATTATTTTTCTCCACGCGATATTGCTATATTTTTCTTTCCTCTGATTAAAAATAATAGTCATTAATTTTTAATAGGTTTGCGGTGACCATTCGTGTGTGCCATGGCCATTATTTTATAATGATAATCATTATTTGGTGCGTTACAAAATACCGTAATATTATTTTCACCTCGTTGTTATAATTTTCCCGTTTGATTTTCCAACGATACATTACAGAACGTAGATACGAGCGTTACTGCAATACCGCACGGTCGCGACGGCGAGTTAATAGTTTATAATTACGATCCTTAGGCGCGATTATGTGTCTCGAAATCTGGCGAGAGAACGCACGCGCGTGACTTGGGCGCCTCGTGAGCATCGAGATTCCTGCCGACGTCGGGGTCGATCTCAGGACAGGAGTTTCGCGACGCGAGTATAATTCGTGTGTACACGCGAAGGAGATAAGGTGTGGAGGAGCGTGTGTGTATATAGTGACTAACGTATACGTACGTACGTCTAAAACAGGTATTTGCGACGAAAACCACCACGTGCAGGCATGCTACGAAACAACCACGAAATACATGCACCGCGCACTGTGTGAGGACAGAGTGTAAGGTGGATGGTATATAGAGCTTCGGAAATTCGGCGAACATCCTCAAGCGTTCGCTTTCACGAAAGGGATCACCCACGACGCGAGTGTCTACTTGGTATTTGAGGACGGTTTTCTTCCTTCCCTTCGCAGACTTAATGACGTACTGTTTATAAGGATGGGAAAATTCACCGCTACTTGACATCGGTCGCTTTTGTGTCTTGCATCGCACAATTAAAAATGCCGAGACTCATCTCTCCGTTGTGGAAGGTATCTACAGGTTCTGTCACGGAATTTAATCGTTCCTACGTTTAAATGAATTTAACACACAATCAAGTTCTCATCTCTGATATTATTCAACGCGATACTCTCACACATGTTTATTCGCAGCCACGGTTATTTCATCGGCCGCGATGTCCGCAAAGAAATTTACGACCATTACTAGTTATGATCTTCCCCAGAATTTTTACGACTATCAGCGGCTGTAAAATTCCCAGAAAACCTGGAAAACTTTAGGAATACCGCCCAGAATTTTATAACCTCAATAACACGTCATGGTACCCTCGTGACGAGAGGGAGAGTTCCACCCAGGGCGACGTTACCACCCTTTCAACATGTGCGCGCATACACGACGGCTTTTCTGCCATTCGCACCGCGTCGCTATGAAGAATTTAATGCGCGCGGCGCATTGCTCGCCATTCCTACCGTTGCACGTTTCGCAACGTATCTCGGGAATTTCACCGTCGATTTTGCCGGACGATTAATTAAAAGTGCAAATGAAAAGTCGGGGAAACTCCGCTACGATTTTTGTTGTATCGACGGCGCGTGAGAGCCGGTGATAATTTATGTGCTGATTTAGTTGTTAACAATACGTAAAGCACTCGAAGATTCGGTCGTTTCAGGAGCGTTTGAAATATAACGCATGAATTCGCGATGAGTAATTAATTTAACGCGCGAACGGTCTGACGGGTATGAAAGACTTTGAAATATCCCGTGGGTATACCATATGGACCGGAAGTTGTCATTCGCGTCCCTGGCGGCCCTCCAGGCGCATTGCGGTTACGTCGCGACATGTAATTGCTTCGCTAACAAATCCTCGGATATGATCAACCGTTCACCGTCAACAACTCCCACGCGAATATTCGAGAGAATTTCTTTCTCTCCAATTCCCAACTGATCTCCCGATTAACGATGGCACTACCTTCTTATCGCTTCCTCCACTACGCGCTGCTTAGTAAACTTGACTTTTTTCTCTACTCAGCACTCATTCGCTAATAATGGTTAATCGCTAATAATGATTAAAAAGCGAATAAGAGTATCTACGACTGACTATCGCTATGAAGCAGAAAATAAATGAAAGATACGCCTTCTTGGCGCAAAGGGGAGAATTCTCTTGGCCGAGTACACTTGAATATTTCTCACACAGTGGTACGTTCCGACGGGATGCAAATCTTGTACGGTGTATCGGGGTGTGAATTGAGCAATTCGGACGAGTACGCGCGTCTCGTTGTCGGCGAAACAATTCCGGGTGGAATGCGGGTAGGTGTGCGCAAGCATTTCCATTACACGCAAACCGAAGCGTAAAAAACAAAGAACAGGCGGGAAGCTTTGTGGAAGCGTTTCAAGCAAAAGCTCGCAGGCCAATCGATCTCAAAAAAAAGAGAAGAGAGAGGGAAAGAGAGAAAAAAAAAATAGCGACACAGCGGTGCTGTACGACAAGTGATGGAAACGAGAGGGGCTCGTACGAGGAGGACCGCTCCATTTCGTTCGGAGTCCATCGCGCCTCGACGAGCGCGATTACCGCGATGTGTACGCGCAAGCACATAGAATCGTATTACGTATCCCGCACACAACATACGCACACCGAGAAGTATACACAGTACAATAAACGGTAAGCTTTACACGCGCGCGTACGCGCGCGCGCGCACAGACACACGACGCACGCACGCACGCACCGTACACACATACCGCGGATACGCGCGCGCGTGCACGTATACACGCGCTCGCGCTCGGAGGATTGTGTGTATGTGTGTCTGTGTGT